ACATGCCCTGAGCAAATTATGTTTAATCATTTCCAAATTTACATGTCAATCATCACAAAATTGTTCCTGATTCCTCAAATGTTGTACCAAAAGTATAGATTCATCATCAGCTTCTTAGAGGCTTATTTACAACCCATCAATTCCTTTAGTCTATCTGCTTCACTGGATAACATTTATTTTTCAGAAAAAATAAATAAATAAAAACCTTAAAGACACAAAAAATTATATACAAATAAAAGATAATATAAAAATATCCATAAATATGTTTAATAGTACAATTAGCAAAACCTCCCTGGGGACTTTTATGCAAAATAATTTTTGATTTGGTGTAATACTTGAAAAAAGAGAGTTTGTCCTGTTTTTACATAAAGCATATTTTATATCTACCATGTTATATAAACGAAGCATATCTCAGTTATAGAAAGTGCATACCTTTTAGGAAAAGAGGGAACTAACTCTTCTACTGCCTTGATCATAGTTGAATAGTCATCTTCCTGATGAGTAGTTTTTTCTTTTCTTGCAGCTGCCAACAGTGATTTAAGTTTATTAAACGGATCAATCAAATAAAGTCATAAATAAAGGGTAATAATGGATTTGTTTAATGATATTTAGGTAGTGTTTGGTGTAATGGAAAAGGAGAAGGAATGGAATGGTTCATTCCATTCCATTCCATCTAACAAACATACCCTAAAAGGTAAATTGCAAAAAAAACGAAAAGGAAAAGGAAGTGAAGATAGTAGTTAGAAGTACCTTTACTATATTTTTGACTTAAATCATTGCTTCCACTTTCAAGATAACATAAATCCCTGGAATTTAGTTCACATCCTTCCATTCGTGCAAAATCACCCAACATACGACCAATGACACGATACGCCACCATACTCACCTCATCACTAGCACCTTGTACACCAAGGTACCGATTTCCACAAATACCCTTATCATCATCAAACACTAAATTCCTTTCCAAGCTTAAATCTTTATCACAAACTCGATCCATATCCATATCCGTTTCCATTTTTCCAAAACTCACCAAGTGATATGGCATTGAATTAGTAACTTTCAAACTATTCAAGGAATCCGATTCCATCGAACTAATTCCCATCATGGAATCGGAATTAGCCAGTTTGATCTCAATCTCCTCGGTACTTCCTACTTCTTCATTGAAATCATTGAAATTAGACACATTATTTTCCCTATGTTCTTCATTATCTACACAAATATCATCACCATCACTTTCTCCATGATCCTCCATGTACACATCAGCAAACTCTAGGTCAAAATCATCTTCCGGGATCACATCCCACAAAACTTGCTTCATAGAAGCACTCACATTCAAAATACATTCCACTTCTTCATCTACTTTCATTTCCACCATACGTTTATTTTTCCTTTTAGGACTTTTCTTTATAATAGCAAGAACTTTAAATAAAGACCGTGGAATGTTCTCAATATCACTACACTCTAAAAGATATTCCATCAACAAATTCTTAACCCGTAAAGGCGAAGCATATAATTTCACATCAGGGTCGATTATAAGTTGTATTTTCTTTAAAAGTTTTAGTTCTACATGGTCAACTAGTTTGATACACATTGCAATCTCGTTTTGAAGAGAGATAATTTCGGGTGAAAATTGAATGAAGTTAGTTGCATAGTGATGTCCTTGAATCAACTTTAAAGTCAACCCTGCAACTTCCATTGCTTTTGCTAATGGTTCTTGTAATGAATCCCCTTCACTAAGTTTCGAAAGGAACCCTAAACACTTTTCTCTCAATCGCTTGATCAACATGTTGCGATTCCATCCGGATCTTTTTCGGATTAACTTCGGAATGTAATCTTTGATTCCACGGAGTTTTCGATGCATGGCGGAAAGAGTTTGAAGAGGTAAATCTTCGAGTACGCTAAGTATCTTATGAACAGCGAAATGGGAAGAATCGGAATCGGGAATGAAACGGGATTCGGGATTCCAACGGAAATTTTGCGGATTCTTGAGTAACGATAAATGATCGTTAGATAGTTTTATCTTTGGGGTGTTGTTTTTCAAGAGGTGTTGTTTGATGATATGTTTCATTTTCCAACGGGTGTTTTCGAATTTAATTGAACCACTTGTTAGTAGTTTGGCAAATTGGAAAAGGCCTTGATTTGTCATGTCATCGATTAGGAATAGAAGAGTTGTAATGTCTGTAGGTGAATGAATAAGTTGCATGTCATCATGAAGAATTTGGTATTTGTTTTTGGATTCATGTTCTTCAACTAGCTTTTTGACAAAAGATCTTATAGTTTCATAGAATACCTGAAGGCAAATATTGAGAAATATCAGGAGATGTGAATAAAAGATTGTGGGCTACAAATGAGGAAGAAGTTGTAACATAATAAATATTATTAGAAAATTTTTCCTTCCGCTCCTAAATTATAAAAAATAACCAATAATAACTTCATCATCAAAATTAATAACACTTACATCATCTTCCCTAAGTAGGCATTCAGGTATGGGCCTGCACACATTAAAAAGATGTTTTATAAATGAGTAACCAACATGGAGAGGGGACTTGTGAAGACACTTAGAAAAGGGCAAATTTGTAAACAGTTTGAACTTAATAGGGAAAGCCTCATTTCTCTAGCTTCTCTATTAACTCAATCTTTCTGAACTAAGCAAAAAAACAAACAAAAATGTATATAGCTTAGCTGGTTGAGTTTTGTACTTGTTAACTCTATCAAACATGCTATACACATAGGTGTTAATAATCAGATTTCAATAATATAACTTGCAACAATGAGTTTTTGGTGCTTGGGTAAGAGTAGCCTACTTCTGCATACATTGTACACTTATTTGATTATTTAAGTGGCAATAATCAGCTTTCAGTAGTAATATATTAGCTGCAACAAACTAATCATCAAAGGTGTTGAGTAAACTTGCTTTACCAATGTTTTGTCTATTACTTTCTTAAACCTAAACCTCACTCAACACCATCAAAAATGATGATTACAATGTCCAAAAACTATCTTTTGTTAGAGATGATGAATGAATTAATGATTCAATATCATATCACTTTCAATATCCATGTCTAAACAAACCCCTCAATATAGAACGTAGAACTAAAATTTGAACTAATAAGTAGTCAGATAGAGCTTTTAGGAACATAGCTACGTTTTAACTCAAAGTAAACTCATGTTAATAAACAGAACTGGATCCTATCTCGCGTACCTTTCAGGTTGAGATTTAGATTCTTTTAGTTTGCCAGCTTCGTTTCCGGATGTTGGTAATCCGATTAACCACCTTGTTTCAAACAGCATCAGAAATAACCAGGAATTAGAAATTATATGAGCAAAAAGCAGACAAAGATAAACGCAATTGTTGAAGAAGATTTGGAGAATAAAGCAGCTGAAATACAAACCTTCTCTTGTTCCTAAGCTCCTTCTCTTGAAGATTAACTTGTTCCAACAACGATTTGCAATCTTCGTACCAGAATTCCATCTTAGCGATACAAAAAACAAAGGAGACGTTGCTCAAATTTCAGATTTGTACGAAAAAATCGTCAGAAACAGAAATCCAAAAGGTGTCTTCAGGGGTTTTTGGGCGAGGGTTTTACGCCGAATCCGCGCCAGTGGAGTTTAGGGGTGTTTGGGGAATGAGTTTTGAAATTATTAGTGGGTGATTTTAAAATAGGTTATTAGTTAAAACTAATAAAATAAAAAAGTTTTTAATAAATTTTTTAGATACGAAAAAGTAAAGTTTTTAAAAAGATAGAAAAATCTTAGATTTTTAGTTTTTTAGTTGTTTTATTCTTAAAAAACAATTTTTCTAATCTAAATATTTTTTAAAAACTATTTTTCCTAAAAACTATAAGCTAATAAATATTTTTTTTAAAAATCAAATGATAAAAAAAACTAACTCAAACACACTCTTAGTTTAGTTCTTTTAATGGCTTTCTTAAAATCTTTTTAGTATTTGAAAATATCAAAAAGGTTTTAGAAACTTTTTATTATTGAGATTTTTTATATAAAAAATAAAAAATTATTTTTAATCTTATCATTTTTATTGGTTTTGTTTATTTTGGCTTATATATTTCATAATAATAAATATTTTACATCATGGTTATATCTAAAGTATTAATTTTTTTAATTATATAATCTATTTGATTAAATATATATATATATATATATATATATATATATATATATATATATATATATATATATATATATATATTAAAAAAATAATTTTCAAAATATACAATTATAAAGATTTTAAAATATCATTTTAATATGTTATTTATTAAAATATTAATATCAACTAATGTGATTTTTCAAACATATGGAGGTATTCTTAAATTTTTAAAAATTAAATAAAAATGGTTTATATAGTATATTTTTTAGGGTTAATTTCATAAAATACCTTATATTTTGTGTTTTATGTAAATATATTTGTTAATAAGTTTTTAGGGTTAATTTATAAAAAACCTTATATTTTATGTTTTTTTAGGAATAAACATAATTTTTACTTTTTTCATGAAAAAACGTTATATTTTTTGATTTTTTTTCCAATTTCTCCCTTTTAGCTATTTTTAATTATTTTTATAAAATATGAGGGTTTTTCAGAAAAAACTAAAAAAGTTAAGAATGTATATCGAAACATTAAGAAGGTTGAAGGTTTTTTTCTTAAAAAAATAAAAAGTTAGGGTTGTTTGGAAAAAAATGAAAATAAAAAAATTATAAGGTATTTTTCATGAATAAATAAATATAAAGTTAAAAAAAAAATATATATATATATATATATATATATATATATATATATATATATATATATATATAAGGATTTTTTTATAAGATTCGCTACTTTTTTTAAACACTCCGATTTCATAAAGAATAGAAGAACTCACGACTAGAAGCCAATGAACAATGCACACGCACAACTCACAGCACAAAAACTATTTCGAATAAATTTGTTGAGGTTGTAACTTGTAAACGTTATGTTGGACTCACACTCACTAGAGGTTGGTGACCGTTAAATATTTTGAAACTACGGGGGCCAAAGAGTACAATCCGCAATAGTTTTGTGCAATTATCCTATTTCCACAGACTCCTAAAACCCTAACTGGTGCCCGCTACCTGCAAACTTAAGCAAAAACCCAAAAACCCTATTTTCTTCGATATTGTTTTAGGAGGAGAAACTGCAAGTAATTGTCTGTGTGTAAAGACAAAGTATGTTGCGACGGAATGTGAGGTTGAGAAGAGAGTATCTGTATAGGAAAAGTTTGGAAGGCAAAGAACGTTTGCTTTACGAGAAGAAACGCAAAATCAAACAAGCTCTTGAAGGTTTCTTTTTGTTCGAATGATTACTGTTACTTCTTTGTTTCTGTTTGGTTAAATTATATAATCTTGATTTATGCGCAGAGGGGAAACCAATTCCGACTGAGCTCAGAAACGAGGATGCTGCTCTTCGCCAAGAAATCGACCTCGAAGATGAACGAACTGCAGGTGTGTTTTCTACCCTTCAAAATCGATCTTATTTCTGAAGTTTGTCCATTGAAAGATGTCATACGCGATTGGGGTTTTAGATTCATAAAAGACGTTGTATGATTTGGCATCTAAAGATGCTGTATCAGAACACGATAGTAACATTGTCTTCTAATTTTCTTCAATCTAGTTCCAAGATCAACCATAGACGATGAATATGCAAATGCAAACGAAAGAGATCCAAAAATCCTACTAACCACATCTCACGACCCAAGTGCTCCTCTTAAACAGTTCGTAAAGGTTTGCTATTTACTAAATTATTATCTTTTAATACTTTTCTCTAGTCATATTTTGTCGAAAAGCAGTTTCTTTAATGGCTTTAATTGCAGGAATTGAAGTTTGTCTTCCCCAATTCACAACGTATGAACCGTGGTGGTCAGGTTAGATTAAAAATTTTAAACATAGATTGATTCATCATTTATGACAATTGATTGTTGAAACTTAATCTATTTTGGTGAATGCACAGGTTATATCTGAAATAGTTGAGACATGTAGAGCACATGACTTTACAGATCTTATACTTGTTTATGAACATCGTGGTGTACCTGATAAGATTGTTATAAGTCACTTGCCTTTTGGTCCAACTTCTTATTTTCAAATCCTCAATGTGGTGAGTAATTAAGCTTCTTTTTTGTATTATTTTGTTTCCATAATGCAAGAAATAGCAACACACATTTTTTTGTGTTTTATAGCATCTTACTTTCTTTTCTTTCTATTGCAACATTGTACTTTCAGTTTTTTCTTATTAAGCCTTTTTGTATTTTAAAGCATTACCTAATTTTAGTGAAAATATGATGCTATTTCATGCACTTAATTCTTGAATGCATATTCTGATATTTTTTTATAGGTTACAAGACATGACAATAAAGACAAGAAGGAAATGGGAACTGTTTCTGAGGCTTATCCACATCTGATTCTTAACAACTTTTCAACCAAGGTATACAGTCACTTGTTTTTCCATATTGATTTTAATTTCAATTTCATTTGAAATCTTTTTTTTTTTTTTTTGATATTTTATCGTTTGTGTGATTGAATAGATTGGTGAAAGGACTGCAACCATCTTAAAGCATCTCTTCCCAGTGCCTAAGCCTGATTCCAAACGTATAATCACTTTTGCTAATCAATCAGATTACATTTCTTTCAGGTAATTGCTTATCATGATTTTAATCAAATTAAATTAAATGCAACTCTTCAAAAATAAATAACAAGCTATATGTTTTTACAGGCATCATGTCTATAGGCAAAGTGGAGGTCCTAAATCGATTGATTTAAAGGAGGTTGGGCCTCGATTTGAGTTAAAATTGTATCAGGTAACATATCTTATAAAATCGTATTTTTATTTCTTCTTATTACAACATTTTACTTTGAACAAATATAACCAATAGTAGCATTGTCATCTATATACAAAGCAAATTTCTGTTCACTGTTTTAATAAGAAAACCTTGAAAGTACAATGTAGAATGATATGAAAGATAACTTTTTCCCTGTTTTGTTGCAGATAAAGCTTGGAACAGTTGATCAAGACGAAGCACAAACAGAATGGGTGTTGAGATCCTTCATGAACACCTCCAAGAAGCAGAAAGTTTTAGGCGAATGAGACAAAGATTCTAATTGGCCCCTCATCTTTCTTGGGCTGTCATTTTTGTTTTGTTTTGATAAATTATTTCCAGACTGTTATATGTATGTATCATTTACTTGATATAAAAACTTTTAATAGTCCCAGTGTTTCTAATTTATACCTTTAAAAAATTATTATATTTTTTAGACACAATACTCTGATAAAAAAACAGGGCCATGTGCAATCAAACTAACATTAAGTTTCACTCAAAGTATCTTTTATTGCACTTTTTCATTATGTGATGTACAATCTATACGAGGATTTGGCTAACACCGATCTTTGGTTTCATTATGTTATATGCACAATCCATCAAAAAGATTTTGATTAATATAAATTAACAACTATATTCATAAGTGAATGTATATACGTTAGAATAATTCCAAATATATCAGCAAACATTATTTTTATCCAAAATCTTTTAGTTATACTTATCTCCTATAATGGTTTCTACATCTCTTTTGAAAATTTTGTAGTCTACTACTTTAGGTTTCTACATCTCTTTGCTCTCATTGATCTAATATTTTATGCATATATTTCATTAATTACTAACTTATATTATAACATGTTTGCCTTCGGATGTATATTTTTTGTAGGTTTTTTAGTTAACCTACAAATTTAATGTGTTTTGTGATTGGAGATTAGAATATTATCAGCTTAAGCATTCCTGTTTTCTTTGTAATTTAGGAGATCTCATTTATTTACTAGTTAGTCTTCTTATCATGATTATTTTATCATTAATTGATTAGTGGATTTTTATGGAAATTTTATCAGAGGGGTGTTTTTTTCCTTGTACCAGGCTCACACCTATCTGGTAATATCGTAAAAAAGAAAGTTGACTTTAGATAGGATTACTATATATAAGGTTTTGATTGTTTTTAATATTTTGTGAATTAGTTTCGTATGATTTATTTAGTTTGTATTTATTTCAAAATACATAAAATTGAATGGGTTAAGAGATATGAGTTTGTATTTGAAAATGAGAAAAGATTGATATGGCGTATGCATGATGCATCGGCAATGATGAACTCTTTCGATCCTTGCTGTTCAACAGATACAAAGGGCTGAATAATTGCTTTTATATTATTATTACCTGATTTTTAAGTAAAATTTTACATTTTGTAAGAGAACAAAAGTCGGGCATACAACTTGACCTTTTTAAAGAGTCAAGAGAAACTTTAAAATATGAGATTATGAACAATAAATTTGAATAGCTCTTTCATGCTTTTCAAAATATTAGTTAATACTAATACGGTTATAAGTTCGGAGAGAATCTCCATCCAGTAAACACCACACCAACTAGTGTACAGTTTTTATTGCATCTTTCTTTTTTCTATTTTTTTATTTTAAATTGTTATTAAAGAATATATATTTTTAAAAATTAAAAAAAACATATTTCTTAGGGTGTTCATTTGAATTGTTCGATTAAATCCAATCAAATAAATCCAAATTGATTTCGATTTTAAAAAAAAAAAGATTTAAATATTTCAAATTAAATTCAAATCTCATCTGATTCAATCAAATTACAATTCGGTTGGGTCAGATTTTATAAATCAATTTTCAAAAAACAAATTAATTTTTTAAACCCATATAATTAAAATATTACCCAATTTTATTTATATAAAAAAAATAACAAACAACTTAATTGTGGTTTAAAGTCTATAAACAACTATTAAAAAAATATATTAAAATCTAATACTTTGTAGATAAAAAGTCTCAAAAATGAACATTAAGGTTATTAATGTTTTTTAATAGGTGATATTTTTTGAATCTATTTGAAAAAAAAAAAAAAAAAGAATAGAATGATAAAATATTATTTGATTTTTTTAGACTATTCCTTTCTTATTTTATAAATCAAAACCAATCTAAATTCAAAGTAATAATTCGGTTTTGTTGAAAACCAATCCAATTAAATGGACAATTCAGTTTTATCAAAATAATGAACAACCCTCCTGATAGTTTGCTTTCTGCCTTTTGGGAAAGGACAATCTAAGGGTAATATCTTTTCAACATTCAGTGTATTTAGTGATAGTTTGCTCTAATAGGATGAAAGATAGCATTGCAAATATATGCTTCTCGTTCAAAAGAAAACCATGCAAAACATCCCACGCTAGAATCCATATCCACCAGCTACAACTACATACATCATATAAGCATACTTGCACCAATGATTCTGGTCAACAGTCAGCAAAAAGAAACAACATTTTAGTCTTCTACTTGTTACAAATAGTGCACCATTTACTATGCAAGCGCCTTGTCAATTTCATCCACATGAGCACGAAGTTCTTTCCACTGCCAGATACAACAACAACAAAACCTCATTGTTAATAAGACCAAAAATATTAAGTGTTTTTCTAGATAAGTAAATGATAATAAATTTATAAAAAGTTAGGACTTGATTAGGAAATCATAGTTTCCCTGACTTTATCTATTAAGTCAAAAAGAACCACTCATATATAGCTCCTTACCAAATTAAATCATGCCCTAGTTAAGTCCATTAAGTCTAAAAGAAACAACACTTTAGTAAGGTCTGTAACAAAAGAGAAGAGCTGCAAATAAATACCTGATCAATGCTCAATGAGATACCTGAAATGACAGTAAAATAAACAATATCAGTAGTTGCTACTTTGCCTTCTGCAGATTGAACTTGGTACATGGATGAACACTAACAAAGGCTCCAATTTGTAAAGGCAAACTGAAACTAAGAAAACCCCTGGTGCAAATAAACCATAGGACTAAGTTCTTTATAAGTTCTTCTAATACGAATTCTAGTTAAAAACCACCGTTTACTGAAAACCCTAATGTAAAAATTAAGGTAAGTAACCCTAGGTCGATACAGTTTAAACATATGAAACCCTAGATAAACCATAAATTCAGACACGGGAAATGCTAAACTAAAAAAACCCTATATGATTATATCATGAAATATGAGGATTTCAGTAAAGACATGAAAGGTAGTGAAGTGTAAACCTTTTTTTCCAGGCATTTGCTTGCCATCTTTGACGTAGAACTCACGTATATCAACAAAAACCCTCCCTTGCCAGTTTCGGACACTAACCCTCCGGTTTTTGGAAACGTCGCAGATGAAGATGGTGTCATCGTCGCCGGAATCATCACCGGATGTGTCCTTCTTGTGCATTTTCTTTGGAGGAGCGTCGTCGTCGCAGATGAAGTCGTCAAGGTCCTTGTCCTTGCCTTTCCCGCGCTTGTACGACATCTTTTTTTCTCTTTTCTTTTTCTTTGTCTCTGTTTGGTAACCTTCAGTCCTGAACCCCCCCCTCTCTCTCTCTCTTAAGAGTTAAGATTGTGAATGTCGTATTTCAAAATAAAGGCTAACGATCAGTAGAGTATAAATATCCCATCCTAGACATAGGCCCTCTCTAATGGACTATCGGCCCAATTTTGTCTTATCAAACAACAAAATTGGGTACATCCTTGTTTCGGGAGTTTTGGTCGGAAGAATGGTGTGATACTCTGAGGGGAGTATCTTGTCCTTATTTTATATTTTAATAACTTGTTAATATTATATGTCATATGTTAATTTTTATTTTAAATTTTAAATTTTTTTATTTTAATTACATTAAATTAATAATTGATTCTTCATTTTAAATTTTAAATTTTAAATTTCACACTCTCATTATATTAAAATAATAATATTAGAATAAAAAATAAAATAAAATTAATATATATTATAAGGTAATATAATTTCATGTATTTATTTAAATAAATAATTATTATAATTTTATGTAACTAAAAGATATATTTTAATTAATAATTTATATAAAATAATTAATTGATAATTTTAAGTTTTCACTATGAAAGTTTAATTAATTTTATAACCATAATTTTCATGGGTTATGAACTACTCTTTTATGGACTATCGGGGGAATTTAGGTTACTCAAGACCTATCATTACACCAAAAGCCCGATTCCTAAAGTTTTTTTTCTTGGATTTTATAAATAATTGGCAACACTAAAAAATATTTTCAAATACTAATGCAATTAATCACATCTGACTAGACCAACAATTTTAGAAGTTTCCAACATTCTATGCTCATATAAACCAGTATAAAACTACCGAGGGCAGGAGTAAGCTCACTATTTTATTTTTTTTATTTTTTAAAAGAAGGCTACAAACTATGTTCGTCCGTTTTCCTTGATCTATCCATGCCCAAGTGTCCGCTAGTTGATAATAATACTAAATTAACTTTTATAACTAAAACTATTTTTGTAAATAATTACGTTTTATCTTTGTTAAAAAAAATGAAATAAATTTTATTTTTTCTACAAAATAAAGTTGATTTTGATATAAAATTTATGTAAATTTAAAATTGACTTTGGTTTGATGGCTAAAGAGTGATAATTTTTTGATTTGGTTGGGTTGTATATTTAAGATAAGATGGATAATAATTTTTTTAATAATTAAAAGTATATATATATATATATATATATATATATATATATATATATATATATATATATATATATATATATATATATATATATATATATATATATATATATATATATATAGTTTGTTCCTTTGTATACAATTTTTTATTTGATTGGTTGTCATTTCTTTTATATTTTCCTTTTTTGTTTGCTGCGTTTTGTATTTTTAATTTTTAATATGTCTTATCTCCTCACACAACCCACTACCCATTGATTACCCCAAGTTGGTTTATTCCACCGTCTCAGATCCACCTTTAATCTTCTTCTTGATTTTTCTACACCGCCTCTTCTTGCCTCCACCGACTCGCTTTAACGCCAACTGAAAGCCACTTTAAGATGTTTTAAATGTATTGATTTTTAATTTTGGTTCAGATTTGCAAACAATCGACGACTTTCAACCCCCACAACGCGGGAAAAATCTTCACTAGTTAGATATGAGAGAGAGAGAGAGAGAGAGAGAATGACCTAAACTGCAACAATCCCATCAAGTACACAAACCATGTATGTATGTTTCTTGACCCATACACGCCCACGTGTGACGTGCCCAATATATAACAATGGTATGAAGAAGCATTTTTTTTTTTATGATATAAGCATGTTTCCTTCATGTTCCTTCTTGAGAGTTAATTTATGTGAAGTTGGTTGACTTCACAGAAGCAAACATTCTTGTTCGAAGTTTATTAAAGTTGTTTGGAGTTATCTGATGCGTACGTTGTAAACAATGGTCTTTGTTGTCTCTCGGGAAATAAATGGTCTTCAATTGAACTTATTAAAATCGATGTAATTCTTAAGAAGTTTGCAATTTTTTTTAGAAATTGGAGCATATGATCATTTGTATGCTAATCTCGACTAGTTTTTGATTCTTTATTGATTATGTATGGAGATTATGAATTCAACTATCGTATAATCAAAAGTTGGGACTTAGGAGAGTCAATTATCCTTCTTTATTTCAAATTGTAGTAATTGTTCATTGTTTCAATATTTTATCAACATATATATTTTACTTAACACAAAACAGAATAAAATGGTAAAGTAATCATTTTTAGCACAATGCCACGTTAGATTTATACACGTCACTTAAGAATTTGTTAGAAAAAATATTCACCTTGTAATATTAGGGAATTGTGGAGATGTGATTTCATTTTGAAAAAAACATATGCCAAGCACCAATCAGAACCCACATTCTCCACTTTCTTTCTCATATCTCTTCTTGCTAGACGGTTGGCGACCCTTCTTTGGGTAGACACTTGATGAGAGCCAATGAATGGTGTTGACGACTTCTTTGCAAGGGGAGGCGATGGTTTAGCACCTCACTTCCAATAGCCTAATGCTCACCAAGAACAATGTCTCGTGCAAATTTAAGCTTTTTTTTGTGTGTGTTTTATGTCATTGAAACTTAGATGTAAAGGAATGATGGGCTTTTCATCCATGGCTCAAACTATAATATTATTTCAAACTTCTATATATACATGTGTGACAACTTATTTATTTATTTTTTTTTCTTAATGTCTTGAGTTCTTAAATTGAACCGACCATAAATGACTTTTTTTTATTTAACCCAGACAAAAAGAATTAATCACTTAATGTGTTAAGATGCCAACCCTCTACCAATATTATCTTCTTCATTTTACCTCCCAGCTCCTCACATATTAAAATTGATAAATATTATTAAACTTAAATAACAATGTTGAATTTTTTTTAAGTATAAAATGGTAAAATGATTGTTTAGTCTCATTTGAAGTCCATAAACAAAACAAACACTATGTATACGTTTATCTAGACATATCATTACTTATTCAGCCAATTCACCATACATGGCTTAATAAGAAAAACAATGAGTTCGCTTTCCACCATTAATGTTAACCCCTTAATATAATTAAAGGTGCTTAAGTGACACAAAAATAAAACTTTGTGATTAATCAAATATGATGCCATGTCATTTCCATATCATTGTTAAATTATTAATCAAATAAATAAGCATGTGGCAATTTGAAAAAAAAAGGTTCTAGGTACCTAACTAAAACAAATTTAAAAGCTTGGTTACTATGTTATGAGTTATGACTAACCAAGGTGATTGGGTTGTGGGTCTACTCTCCTCTACAACACAATAATCATTGAGAGAAAATTAAAAGAACGACCAAAGTTCCAACATAATCTTTAGCATGCATCTCAAGATTTCTTGCTAAGATCGATGACATGGAACTTTGTTTTTCACATCATTGATGTCGTGTGACACACAATGGAGTAGAATGGACAAGCTTTGTAGGGTTTTTCTGATTGATAAAACTTTACAAGATTGTAGAATCTTTTTTGGCTTGTTTTCGATAATAAGGATGGCGAGAGCATTAATTTGAACAGAAGATTACATGTGATTGGATTTAAATGTTTTGTGTTGAATGCATTTTATTAATCTTTTCTAGTGCCAACTTAATACATTTGCAAAGATTTGACACATGTGAACTACTTTTTTTTTTTTATGTAATATTGCCACAAAGTTAAGTGCTTTTGGTTGCGACTTTCATTGATTTATATAAATGACATGAAAACTTAAATTTAAGCAGTTAAGCCTCTTAAAAAGAATTGAGGTACCAACTACCAAACATACAACAAAACTGAAACTTGGTAATTATTTAATGAAATTGTTTTAAACATATTACCATTTATGTGAAAAAAAAAAACTGGTACAATTGGCCTGTTTTCACATAAATGTAACAAAAATCAAGATTGAGAGGTTAAAACCTCTTAGAACAGGGGCATTATGGTCACATAAATGTTACCATTTATATACAGTTTCACGGGTAGTGTCCTATACAACTCAGCAATCGCCTGCTGATGGTGGGCTGAACCTTTTTGCAGGTGCACCAAGTTTCCGATCAAGTTCAGGCGTGCCAGGGACAACAGTGTCCAGAAAATTTACAACAGGGGCATTATGGTCATTTACCGTTTTTCCCTGTTCAGCAACTAAGTTAGCTTCTTCATCATGGAGATTGTTATCCACCCCTGCAGTAGGCTTCTTTTCATGCCCCTGAACATGATCAAAAGACTTTTTTATCAAATCAACAGTTATCCAGACAATCTTAACAAACCTACCTTAAATTTTATTCCCAGATATACCCTTTCGGTTTTTAACTTGGTTCATTACAAAGCAATGTTTTTTTGTTCAATCAATAGAGAATTATATGTACATTAATTTAATCATGTAGACTGGATAATGAGACTTCCGGATAAATTGCAACGTTTAAACTGACATCTACTATGTGTCAAAAGTCTAAAATACCCTTGGATAAAATAATTATAAATTAACAATAGCTACAAACCTTTTCTTGCAATAGTGTTCTTCTACGTTCTTTGGCTCTACAAATTGCATTTCGTATTCCATGGTTGTCCATGCTCCCTTTTGGCCACAAAGCCGCAAGCTTGACAACATAAAAGAAAAATATTTTTCCTAAATTAGATAAATCCATTTTCTGGGAGATATTTATTATTTCATTTTTTTTAGGAATTATCTCCTAAATTAAGATAGATCCCTTTTAGGTTAGGATTAGGTTTAGTTTCCACTGAACTCAAAACCCATAAAAGAGTGTCATTTATGCCAAATTCAGTCAAAAAAGCCACTGAAAACTGATATGTTGACTATTATGCCCTTCAATTCACTTGTTATATTTAAAAATGACATGATGAAACACTAACATAAGAGGAGTACGTAAAACATAGCATGAAAACAGATAAGATGACCATCATGCCCTTGAAGAATTGAATGATGTTATATAGGCACAAGGTAATGTGGAAGAGAAGAGAAAAAAGAAAACTAGCAAGGGTAATGTAGACTATTGTAGTACATTGTAAACATAAGTGTTTTTTTAACAAGCTTTTAGTTTAGTTTTTATGTTAGGTAAACTAGACTCTTGAAGCTTTAGATTACTATCAAGTAAAAAGAAATCATGAGCATTTTACTCTGGATGTGTTTGACTATCAGTCAAATGTCATAAATAACCTTCAACAAAGCAACTTTCAATAAAGAAATCGGCATACAAAAGAAAGGAAAGAAATAAGAGGGTGGTATTCCAAGAAAGCAACTACCTGAATGTAGAATTTTCGTATTTCTGAGTTTTTAATTTCATCCATCGCCTGTTTAATATAACAAGGAAAATGAAGTATATGTCCATTATTAAGTCCAATATAACAGAACAAGAATACTTCCAACACCTTATAGGCCCCGTTTGTTACTCATGACAGGACAGGTGGCATGCATACATTGGACTCAGACTGGGACCAATGCCAATAGGACAAAAATTGCATTCTTTTTGTCGGGTGTGCAAAAGACATTAGTGCCCTTTACCTGAGTCATGGAATTAAAAACAATACCTGGACATAAATGTCATAGAAATCACATATTTTATCTTCCATCTCTTGGTCCATACTGTATTTTGCATTATGAGCAACCTGCAAATTTTTATATTTCAATGGTTGTTTATGGACCAAATCATATTGGGAAATTTGAGTTTCTATGCCTCAAAAGTCAAAACACCCCTCATATAAAACTATGCTCAATAATATCATCCTCCGAAAAATATGCATATCTTTTTGCTTTTGTTCCGAAAATGCCCCTCTTTTACATCGAGTTGGTGAGCCTATATGAGCTTAAACAAACCAATCAAAGCAAATTCTACTTTTAAGAAACTAGTCTAAGCCCTAAGGCGTGTTTTTTTTTTTTTTTTTTTTCCATATTATGTTTTGTTTTAAAAAAAATAATGTTTGTAAAAAGTTAGGACTTAATGGGGAATGCTTCGTTTTTTTAGTTTCTCTATTAAGTCGTTCTTTTTGCATTATATAACTTCTTAGATTATGTAGCTATTTTTGTTAAAAAAAATGTAAACATTTGTGTAACAAAGGTACCTTTGTTTCCATTGATGGGGCCCGCAATTTGATCATTTCAACAACCTCCTTTTTAATCTGGATAAACCGGGAATCATCCAATCCACATGTTGATGATGAAACAATATCCCTCAAGCATCTCTATACACACAGAGAAAAGGGGTATGACTTATGAGTAAATAATTATTTAGCCACTTGACAATTTTTCTGTAGTTTGTGATTAAACCAATATTCTTTTTTGACCTTTTGGGAAACCATTTTTCCTGGCTACTCGATTTTGAAAAAGTTAAAATACAGAAAAATACAGCCTACTTTTATCATTTTTATCGATTTCGTCACTTGAGTTTGGACTCTTATGATTCTATGATATTGTAATAATAGTTCAACAGCTAATTTATAAAAAAAAAAAGTCAGTGGTGGATAAATCGATAAGATAATGAAAGTAGGTTGTGAATTTTGTTTAATAAAGCAACTTAGTAGATTGTCTAAAGCTAGATACTATTTTAATCAACTTTTAAGATGTTCGATCCATTTCCCCCCCTTTGGACCCTTTAGCAATAAAATATAATCCGAAAAGGAACCATATTCACCAAAATGTTTTAAAATTGTACACTCTAAATAACAGTGCTTTTGTAGCTCAAGTGAAGAGAAACGAAAATTGTTAAAAATCATTGGATACCTTTAGTGTTCTTGGCTTCAACCAGTGTCCAAGAATGCTCATAAGACGCATCATTAGCTCATCTGATATTTTCCCTTGGCTTGAATGCTGAAATTCCCAAAGAAAAGTGTTATAAAGAAGAAGAAAAAGAATCAAATTATTTTTCTTTTCGTATTCAAAAAATAGCCCATGTGAAGAAAAAAAAATTACGACACAATGATGTTATAATGGTATTACATACTGCTAATCTAGCAACAGTCTCAAGCTTTTTCTTAAGTTCTGGAGGCAAATGGCTTTTAGATGCAACTGAATGAACCGAATCTTGAACATCACCATGCAGTTGTCTTGCTGCAAAAGAAACACATTTTGGATATATGACTTAATGCAGAAAGAATAACTTAATAAACAGGGCCTAAGTTTTTACAAATTTTATCATATATGTTTTTCTTCCATTTCCCCGAGTGTGCCTTCATTTTCTTAAATATATTTATTCAGACAACACTAAATGGAAAATAAAATAGAAACAGGACATAAGTGTGTTCAATATTCGTCAATAAAGACAAATTAGGGCGCAACCATGTCGACCCAAATCAATATCATTGGTTTTTTGTAATGGGTGACAATGGGCAAGTGATTATATTTTGAAAAGTTCAAAAGAAAAAAGAAAATATTGCAATTTTCATGAATTGAGCATCAATTATTTGAGAAAATGGAACTTACACTCTGCAACCATTGTCTCCATCTCCAAGATGGTACTTTCGAGCATTGATCCATTCATCAAATCACAAGATTCATCCTTAATGTCTCTTGATGAAGTACTCTATTAATTGCAAAAAAAAACTATATTAATGATGTTTAAAAAAAATAATGGCACACTTGGGAAAGTGAAGGAAAAAATAAATGAGGAAAAGTTAATGGGGAAAGTATATTAAGTCATTCTTTTTGTCTTACATAAAAAAGAAACACTGATATATAATTATATAGCTTATTGGATTAAGTCATATCAGCATTAAGTCCATTTAGTTTAGCAGAAGTGGATATCTATTCATCAAAAAATGCCGAAAATCGCCTTACAATCATGACAGAATACTGGTTTGAGATGGATAAATACGTATACTTTTAGCTTTGTCAAAAAGGGAAGTTTGTAAAGAAAGTCAAACAACACATAAGCATAGAAAATCATTAAGATTTTCTATGCCTGTGTGTATGCATTGTATACTACTCACTGTTGTCTGCATTGTATAAGGAACATTAAGGTCAGGAAGCTCATTCCTTCCATTGTTGACCGAATGTTCTTCACTAAGGTCAACACATACAGCAGCCCAATCAGATGTCATTCCACAAGGAGATCCTGATTTGTTCTTGTTATCATAATGATAATTCACATCAGTTGACGATTTTACCCTCGCATGTCCCATTTTTGTGTTTTTGGTGAGTTGAACAACATTGACCCTTTCCAGGACTTGTGAGATATCAGTCCTCTGCTTTTTTGGTTGGCAATGCTCTATTGTAGAAGATCTATAGCTAGCAATCACAAAACTACATTAATCGCTTTATTCAAAAACATTGGGTTACTTTTTAATAAATAATTTCCACAAAAAATAAAGGAGTTAGCAATATCTCACTTTTGCTCTTCCTTCTCTTTCTTAAGAATGATGTTGGAGTACTCTCTTCTTGACTCATCTTCTTCATGAAACCACTTCTGCAAAAGAGAGAGTTCATGGTCAAATGAGCAATTAATACCAGATTTATCTTGAAATCAGCCTAAGTATTTAAAAGAAACCATTACAATTAAGAGATGTACATGCCATAATTGGTGAAGACATTCAATCACTTATGAGAAATAATAAGTGAATAAATAACTAACTTATTCCCCAAAATATGTGTCTTGATTACAAAAAGCCAACCAATGTCCATAGAAATGCATTTCACAAATGAATGTTAGAGAAAACGAAGGTTTGTGTAATAAAAAACTATCATATAATCTTAGATACACATTGTAACTATATGTCACATCAGGAAACAAATCAAGTATAAATAGTATGTCATCAAACACAAGAAAAAGATTAAAACTTTACAAGTAGCTAACTGAACTGAGAAGACAAAGAAATCCTTTGTTTCCGTTTCTACAAATCATATCTCAATTATGGAAATAGTATCTTTGTATTAAAAATAAATATAAATAGATATGACATTGAAGCGCATAAGTTGTGTGCAAAAAAGTGAATGCTACAAGTTTGATGAAATAGAGAAGGGCATTATGTTTCATTATTGCTTCATGATTCCTTCCAGAACATTCTACAAAACAAACGTACCCTTAGAAGCTTGTAGTAGGTAGGTTTAAAATTGTTTCAGTATGAAGTCATTAATCGCATAAGGAGAGATATTAGGAGGTGGAAGTGAATGGGAATGGGAAAAATCCATGACTTAACTGACATCATTCGCTACATCATCACAATTTAACAAATGCCTAAGGGGCATTTGGTTCGCAGTATTAAGGATATACAGTCTGAGCCCATTAAACAACATCAACAGCAGCCCAATACATCAGCCAATGAGCAATCTGAAGATCCGATCCAAGGAGCTGATATAACACGTTTATAATTCACTTTGTATACTCAAATGTATAGTCAATTAGATTCTATATTTGTGCCTACAGAATAGCTCTATTCCAGCTGTATAATCTGTTGTCTATAGCCTATATAAGGGATATTCATTAATAAATAAATCAATTCATTTTGATCATACAATTATTTCTCTATATGGTATCAGAGCTCCAATAGCTCCTCTGAGTTTTTTTCTTTCCGATCCTATTTCAGCAATTCTTCCATGGCGATCATTGAGGTCAACCCCTGCCTCGGCTATCTCACCACCACTTTTCCCGCCATCAGCAACTAGAACACTTCCAGATATTGAACCAGCAGTTGCATCTCCTAAGATAATTCCAACCACTGCTCCACCCCAACAGCCCTCATCCTCACCCATACATACAACACCTCCGTCTCCTACACAGCAATCAACCACCTCCTCATCAAATATTGATCCGCCTATTGTATCTGTCACACCTTATCCACAACGAAACCGAAAACCGAACTCAAAATACTTCAACAACAACCTCATAAATACTACCACCCTACATCCAATACCTACAACCCTTGAACCTACTACCCATAATCAAGCTTCTAAAGACCCGAAATGGAGATCTGCAATGGACTCCGAATTTAATGCACTCATTCAAAACAATACTTGGGAACTAGTTCCTGCTTCCACTCACACACCCATAGGCTGCAAATGGGTTTTTCGAATAAAACGAAATCCGGATGGCTCCATCTCTAAACACAAAGCCCGTCTCGCCGCCAAAGGTTTCTTACAACAATATGGCAAGGACTATTTTGACACTTTCAGCCCGGTCGCTAAACTTGTTACTATACGCATTGTTTTATCCATTGCTCTTTCCAACAATTGGCCATTAAGACAACTAGATGTTAACAATGCATTTCTTCATGGTACACTTCATGAAGAAGTATTCATGACACAACCACCTAGCTACACTGATCCCCAATACCCTACTCATATTTGCAAACTCAAGAAATCCATCTATGGCTTAAAACAAGCCCCACGGGCTTGGTACATCGAACTTACCACCTTCTTAATTCGGTTTGTGTTCAAAAAATCGTTAGCTGATGCGTCACTGTTCATTTATCAAAATAAATCAATCACTTGTTACTTCATGGTCTATGTAGATGACATAGTACTCACCGGTAACCATTCCCACTTTCTCGATCACTTTATTACTTCTCTAAGTGCAAAGTTTTCTCTAAAAGATCTTGGTGCATTACATAACTTCCTTGGTGTCGAAGTTATTCCTACACCCACTGGTTTGTTTCTCTCTCAACACCGACATATACAACACATGCTTACTCAGTTTCACATGGAAGGTGCAAAGGAAGTCTTCACTCCCCTTAGTGCTACTGAACCTTTATCCATCACCGATCAGTCCCCCACCGTAGATGCTACTCTGTATCGTAAACTTGTAGGTTCTCTTCCATATCTTGCATTTACACGTCCTGGTATCTCCTTTGCTATCAATAAACTTTCCCAGTTCATGCATAATCCCCGTCAAACTCATTGGCAAGCACTTAAGCGTCTTCTGCGTTATCTTAAAGGCACCATTCACCATGGTCTTGTTCTTAATCGAAACTCGTCTCTCACTCTCTCGGTCTTTTCTGATTCTGATTGGGGAGGTGTTCACAGTGCAGGTAGATCAACAACTGCTTACTTACTTTATTTGGGTACTAACATTGTCTCATAGAAGTCAACAAAACAAAAATATGTTTCTCGCTCATCAACGGAGGCCGAGTACAAAGCTCTTGCCAATGCCACTGCCGAACTCATATGGTTAAAGAATTTACTACAAGAACTGGGTATCACGCCTACAACTACTCCTACATTATTTTGTGACAACACTGGTGCTACTTATTTGTGTGCAAACCCTGTTTATCACTCCAGAATGAAGCACATTGCTTTGGATTACCATTTTGTTAGGGAACAAATCTCTTCTGGTCTTCTAAAGGTTTTTCATGTCAACTCTCAAGATCAACTCGCGGATATGTTAACTAAGCCACTCTCTCGTGCTCCCTTTCTGCGAAACAGGTCCAAGATTGGAGTCTCCGATGGATCCTCCCTCTTGCGGGGGCGTATTAAGGATATACAGTCTGAGCCCATTAAACAACATCAACAGCAGCCCAATACATTAGCCCATGAGCAATCTAAAGATCCGATCCAAGGAGCTGATATAACACGTTTATAATTCACTTTGTATATTTAAATGTATAGTCAATTAGATTCTATATTTGTGTCTACAGAATAGCTCTATTCCAGCTCTATAATCTGTTGTAAATAGCCTATATAAGGGATATTCATTAATAAACAAATTAATTCATTCTGATCATACAATTATTTCTCTATACGCAAAATGTTTTGGAAGGAATCGGATACCATCGAAGGAATTAGAGATTGAAGGAGTTGGAATCTAAAGGGATTGTATTGTGGCATTTGGTGTGCAGGAAATGGAATGAAATCCTTAAGTACATGTGAGCAAGAAGAGGCAAAGCATGTGGAGAAGCTAGAGGTGTTTACTTGTGAAATTCTACAAGTGAAAAGGGTATATGAGTTTTATTAACAAATGGGGGAATGTGGAGAATTTTAACTGTGGGTTTTAGAATGGAATGTTGAAATCCGTCGGTCAAAGGATTTGGTGAATTCCAAAGGAATTCAATTCCATACTTATTTCCAATGAAACGCGGGATTGGCATGGAACTTAATTCCAATTCCACTCAAGTACCACATAACACGTCGAACCAAACACCCCCCAAGTAAATCTATGTTCAAGATTTGTGATATATAGCATTTTCCTTTAAATTTACATTGTTGTTCAAAAACATCAACTACAAAAAATTGATTGAGTAAATAGATGGGGGTAGGTGAGTAATGAGAGAGAAATGGAGTATATGCATATGTTATTAATGCAAAATAATGATTCTTTCGTTTTCATTATTGCTTACCATAACTAGTTTGGCATAAATTGTTTGTTGGTGTGAAGTAAGGTGATAGAAACTCTAAATTAGAGCAATTGGTTATCAAGAATCAACGAGTTGAAAGCAACTTTCGTTATAGAAGGGACGAAACAATGTAGTTATGCTTAATGGTGAATAGATCCATCTTATTGCCTCATTCATTATATAGAAGTTGCCAACAATGTGGATTCGAAATTAACGAAGATAGGTTATGTAGGAAGCATATCCGGAGATCAACAGTCTCATCATATATATAGGGCAACAAAGTTGAAGGAGATGCTCCTTTTACTTTTTTCAAGAGAGGAATATGAGCATGTCTTTGGATCCTCAAATGTCCAAGGAAGTTTGGCTCACAAAACAAATGAGTAGTTATGAAGTTAGCAATACGGACATGTCTTTGGATCCACATCATGCTGAATCTCATCCCTTCCAAGTAGATATATCCACAAAAAGCATGATGTATGCATATGTACTTTAACTCTCTGATTTGCCTCTATGAGAGAGCAAAATAAAGCATGGTTGAGAGAAAGTACGCATAAACGAGATGATAGGTTGAAGGTACTTTGTTCTATATATACGTTGTCACAAGGCCTTGATTCTCTTAAGAAACCAAAGATCCCCTTAGAGTTATGCCCATGTAGAGTTGTTAATCTAAATTGTTTTTTAGGTATTGGGCTTTGATTGGGTTGTTGCCTTAAAATGCTTTGCATGTATTGGGCTTTGGGTCTACCCTTTTACAAGCCTATTTGGGCCTCTATTTGACGAAAGTCGTCCCTACATGCTTGCCTTAACGGTAAGGAGATTGGATTTCACAAAGGAGGTGTTAGGTTCCTTGCTCTCTAAGGCATTGAAATTTACCTCCCTTGTGTTGCGTGAGTCCCGCTTAGTTAGAGGCCGCTCGAGTTCGTGTTTACCATGTTCGACTAGAGTCCTTTGGCAAATATTTCATAATCATTAGCCTCAAATAGTAAATCTATATCTTGGAAGATATCCTACCATTTCATATGTTATGGAAGTTACAAGCATTGACATAGTTAATAAAGGGATAAATAAGTCATGTTTGGAGTAACGGTTTTGATAAGAATATGTAGGAAATACATATTTACTTGGTTAAGAAACTCCTTGGAGATTTAAACGATGCACTTACTTAGGTTTAGTTGCTAGGAATACATAGGGTTATAAGTTATAATATATATATATATATATATATATATATATATATATATAAGTTAGATACCCGTGTATTATACATATTGATTATAAATATTATTAAATAGGAATAAGTAACATTAAAGATTTCTAAAAATAAGAGGGTGTTTCAACTTTCACTAAATTGAAGACATTTGGGATGAATGGGAAAATTAGATATTTAGGAACACAAGGATGGTGAAAGTGTCCCTAAAGTTACTTATTTATTATATATATATATATATATATATATATATATATATATATATATATATATAAAATAAAGATTTGTATATATACATATATACATATACATACATACATATATATGTAGAGAGATGTATCAATAATCTCTAGTGAAGTGTAAGGTCTATATTTCATCAATCTAACTTTCTATAATCTAAGGTTCTGAGCGTCAAGATGCCACGATGCAACATGTTTCTTATAATAATGTAGAAAGAATGCAAATATTGAATTGCATTTCAGGCCGATGTATAGCACCAATGTGGAAGTTGTCATGCTTGCACTAAGCTCACCAGGATCAAGCAAGTCATTATAGAGAATTTGTTAGTCTTAAATCACGTATAACTAAAGTTGAAATTTTATGCTAGCAATGGCATTGTTCTAGATGTTAGGATTCTTTGTAGGTTTCCACCATTAGTAGATATCATAAGACATATACATATCATTAGTCGATTATGCATATTATCATATATATATAACATAATAACGAAAAGGTGCATACTCTACCAAATAGCTCAAACCATTCTACTTAAACACTATGTAGATTATATGTACCCAAGCAAAGGAACCAGTTACAACCCTACAAGACTCGTTAAACGCTCCTAGAAGAAGGTTTAAAGTGGGTAACTTCAGGTGTAAGGCCCCCCTGGCTTCTAGTTTTTCTTTTATTGGGAACATCTTTCGCTACAATGCCATACTCCATCTGTAAGACCACCAAGCACAATATAGATATTGAAATTATTAACAAATTCCTAAAGGTTTAATGAGATAAATCCACGGGTAATTATGACTTTAAGTAGCAATAATCACTTTTGAGAGTTTTTTGACAAAATTTGATCAAAATAATCTGACAAGAATGTTATTGCAGCCTCGATCCCTTAAGGGATCCATGAATTTTAACTCGGAATGGTGTCTTCATGAGTACCTGAATCTCATATGATCTGTGGGTTCTTAAGTAGGGAAATTTTTAGTAAAAATTGGAGAATTAAACAATTTTCCACCCCTAAAGAAAAGTTGTAATCAATTCGTAAAATTTGCCTCCTTTTCGAGAAATTTTGGGCTCCCCTGCTGAATTCTTTTACATTGAGGCTTCCTTTGTACAAGAGCATGCCGAATTGTGTCCAAATTAAACAAAATTTACAAAATTTGCACAAATCTAACAATCATTTAACCCTAGTAATGGAGAAATAATAAAAATTCACCAACAGAATCATCAGAATATTACGTATATACATAAAACCAACAAGGAGAATTCTTACCGGAGGCTCAGGTGATGGAGGAGGAGACTGATCAACCGGAATGCCGGATTCTTTAAGCAGCTTAACCCATGAAACAATCGTTGTTTCGCCAGGTTTCAATTCTATCTGAAATCGCTTCCTGTCGTTCTG